TTTCAGATTATTCTTTTTTTTAGTTTATTTTGTTCATTAAAAAGTGTGTATGATTACTTTGATTAAGTGGTAAAACAATGGTGCGTAAGTGTTTTATTGTGTGACATTGACCATGGCTGATACCAAGAAGACCCCGATGTCCCGCATCCCAAATTTTAGGAAACAAGAACTTGATTTTGTGAAAGCATTGGTTTTTAATCGACTAATCATTGAATAGAAATTACACGATCAAAAAACTGAATCTTTTTAAAAAAAACTGCATGGCAGAAAATCGCAACAGAATACAATGCGCTTTTTTTTCATTAGCATACTATCCCCCAGCTAAAAACTGCTTGGAAAAGAATCAAAAGCACAAATACAGGGTGGCCGAAAAGTCCCTTTACACTAAAGATAAATTCAATTAGTGTTCTAGGGCTGATGCGGTGGTGGGGGAATATTTGCTGATCAGTCGTGTTTATGACAGTGTACTACGTACTGCAACGTAATATTGTGTAAAGGGACTTTTCGGCCACCCTGTAAATCACAGAAAGCTGCCGAACGTCGTAGCTAATTTAAAACAGGGGAGGATCGCCATCGCCAAATGCAGAGGAAGATATGGGGATGGAGGAAATGTTGGCAGATCAAACTCCTCTAGAAAACATACCAGATTATGATCTAGTATAAAGGATTTTTGAGATAAGAATATGCCTATATGTTAATCGGGAATATGAGCTATCATCATGCCAAATTTCAGCCCAATCAGTCCTGTAGTTAAAGCGTGATTGACCTTCAAACAAACACACAAACTTTCACATTTATAATATTAGTAAGATATATATTTCTTAATCCCGAAACAGATCTCCCAAACTCACCGAGATTATCTCCCAAACCAGATTTAATTAGGCGCATGATTATCCCTGCTCAACTTAGGCGTGCACTTAACTAATTACAGGCTCCCAAACCAGTTTTCTAGGCGGCAGCCTAAATACTGGCAATATCTGGTTCTTAGGTGGGAACTAGCGCTAATACCAAGCTCCCAAACTGACTCGCAAATAATATTGTAAAAAGGTTAAAATACCTGTAACTGCCTCGTGATTCCTCTGTTCCTGTACTGGACTACGCGCGTTTCGATGTATTCACATCATCATCAGGTCACAAACTTGAAGAACTTAAACCATTCTTGAATTGGTCGCGTCAAAGTTTACAAAAAAATACACAAAACATTTAAACATTTAAAAAACAGTCGTGATAAAGGCGGCCAGGGGATTTAAAAAATCACGACTGTTTTTTAAATGTTTAAATGTTTTGTGTATTTTTTTGTAAACTTTGACGCAACCAATTCAAGAATGGTTTAAGTTCTTCAAGTTTGTGACCTGATGATGATGTGAATACATCGAAACGCGCGTAGTCCAGTACAGGAACAGAGGAATCACGAGGCAGTTACAGGTATTTTAACCTTTTTACAATATTATTGTCAACGTGATTCGGAATAAACAACACAACATGAAGTGACTCGCAAATATTATTTATACTAAAATAATATTAAAACTGTTACAACTACTTAGTATTGTAAGCCATTTTAGTACATTAGTTCTTTCATGTTGTGGAAATGCAAATAAGACACTTTTAATATAATTGGACCCAAAAGTGTGCACTCTAGACATGTGAAGACAATGACTGGTATTTCTAAATACAAACGTGGCCTTTCTCTCAACTACTTCAACATAAATACTTGAGACATGTAGGGGTAGTGAACACAAGCTTTATAATTAATTCTCTTATGAAAATACATGAGTACAAATATAACAACAATCAATACAAATATACAGTGCCATTCTAACAATTATACTCTGTTGAATTATCTACACTATAAGTATTTATCAAAAGATACGAACAATCAACTTGGTAGTACACAAATATTTTTACAAAAATATGTGACTCTGAAGTGTTTACTTCAGGCACTTAAAACCCAGTGTAAATGACAACATGTTAACATGTTCTTACAACTAAGCCTCATGATTAATTTCTAAATCTTTTAAAGAAAATACATACAAATATTTTTTAAATAAATATATGTATCACTGATGTTTTATTTGGCATTTCCCTGGTACATTAATTCAATTCAACTTCTGTAACTGTAGGATTTATATACGGTACTTTAGGAAGAATAATCCACTCTACACAAACTCAAGTAATGTTTTAAAAAACTTGGGAATAGCATGATTTTTTTAGGTGAAATAATGTAAATAAAAATAATAATACTGTTGTTAGACTAAACAACTAAACTAATCAGCTAAGAATGCATTATAAAATAAATAATCAATACAACGTTGTTGAGCTTTTGTTTATTAAAGGTTAACTTTACCAAAATTTCAAATGCTTAACATAAAAGCGAGATAAACACGTTTGCTGCGGTTGCGTGATGGCTGGCCGCTGCCAGGAGCGGGAGCAGCCAATGCACTACGTGAATGAGTGTGCAAAAATTTTAAAATTTAGTTTTATCCAATGGGAGAGGCATATTACAGCATGTACTGTGTTTCAGTCGTCATGGATGTAGTTTTACAAGAACCCAACAGATAGCAGCACTAACCAAAACTGTTAGCAGGCCCTCAGTATTGCCAAATGTAGGGAAAAGCATGGACGAAAACCTCGGATACACCATAACAAATATTGCAGAAAAGGAGTCTAGCAGAATTTTGAGGTTAGTTTCCTTCCACAGTCCACTATTTTTTATACTATAGTCAGTTGAAACAATTTCCAGTAACAGTATGAAAAATATGTCTTAGTTTTAATCTAAATAATTTATGACTAGGAAAAAACATAACTAAATTTTTTTTTTAAATTGCTATACTTAAGACCTATTATTCCAATCAAACACACATACAGTGATTTATAGAGTCAACAACAGTTTTAAAATATATACATAACAATAATCATGTATCGGCTAAGGGTTGTGTTAAAATTAAACCCCAGTTTACAAGTTAAATGAAATTTGAGATCATAAAGAAAATCTTACAGAAATGACAAACATTCCAACCAATTTTCAGGGTTTTAGCAAGTTATGCATTAAATTAATACAAAACAAGGTTGTAGTAAACTAAAACAAATTATAGAATTAATATGTTCATAACATCTATTAAGTTAAACTACTTTAAGTGAGTTACAAAACATGTATAGATCTCTTGCCTTCGTTAAAAAAACAATACTAAATACAGCAGAGCATCGATAATACGAAACAATGGGGGCAGAGGGGTGTTCAGATAATAAATTTTTCTTATGATAATACATCAACGTAAAGAGGCCGTGTTTCTTTGTTAAGCGTAACTAGAATCCCTCAATATTGGCACAAAGTGTTTGAGCTACAAACAACATTTACGATTATTGTAGAAGTTTCAATTTACTGTAATGCTACTGTGATCGGCAGCACAGGTAAAGATATCGCCGAGATCTTCGGCATGTCTGCCTGTATCACAATGATCGTTTTTAGTTACAGTACAAAGATCAATAAAGTGTAGCACACTCAGCATTGCATGATATAAGCTTAACATTGAGCATAGTAGGCCTAAACTATGCCAGTATGCTGCACAGGCTTCTGTCCTCACTGTCCAGCACAGACGCAAACTTAGCACTGTTCTTTTAACCTTCCATCGGGCGCATCACGGAAGTTTCCAGGTCACTACTATTTCCATTATATAAACCATAGTATGTGTTCGGAAGGGCTGTGGCCTGATTTACCTCACGAACCTCTTTGGCGGAATCGGTTTTGTATACTCTTACCCCTTTCCCAGTTGTCAGTCGACCTTGGGGAGTGGTTTGCGTCACTACTGGATGTAGCTTCCATGAGCGCCCTTGTGTTTGTGTTTTACCTTATTTAGCGGTATTATAAAATGGATGAAGAAGAACTAATTGCGAGATTGTTGGCTAGTGTTGAAAGGGAGGACGAGAAACAAAATTTAGTAGTAGAAAGAACTAATGGTCCGTGAGTTCGAAAACCTTTAAGAGCTTTGATAAAATGTGTAATCCTTCTAACAAATGATTTTTTGCATTAGACAATATAGGTGTTTTATTTCAAACACCATTGCAATTTTTTCTAAAGAGCTTTGACAAAGTATGTTGTCCTTATGAAATAATTATCTTTTTTCATAATACCATAGGTGTTTTTATGTCATACACTGATGCAATTTTTGTCCAAGAGCTTTGATTGAACGAGTAGTCCTTGTACAAAGTTATTATTTTTATTAGACCATGTACGTGTTTTTATGTCATACAATATTAAAATTTATTTTATAATATACGATAGTACTGTATAAGTACAAAAAGTAAATCTTTTTTATCCACAACACTTACGTGTTTTTATTTTTTATTATAACATTTTCTATTTGATACCTATACAACTTAAGCAATAGTGTAATAACTCATAAAAAATGTTTTTATTACAGTTTTATTGTTATTAAAATGTTTTTTACTCATTATTGTATAGTTTATGTACTCCCGGAGGTAACTTCCGTGAGCGCCCTTTGGTGTTTGAAAATCAATGCGCCCGTCGGAAGGTTAAATATCAGAAATCGTTGCACAGTTTTTAGCCGATCTAATATTTTAAGTTTGTCAGATATACTAACAACACAATTCTTTTTACCTGACATTGCTATAGCCTACTGTAAATCAAAAAGCAAACAAAATAATGCCATGTCCTTGAAAAATCAATGACTAATGTCATTAACACAAAGTGAGATTATATGTATACATGTAGGGCCTATGTAACAGCACGATCAGCGTGTCGCCGAGTTTTGCGCGAAGCATTGCGCTACGTGCTCTCTTGCCCCCCTCCCCTCCTAATGTTGGGGTGGCAATAAATTTGAATTTACCGTCTTTGATGACTATTTCGGTTAACCAACACTTTGGATGACCAGCATTCGGATAACTGGCACTCTACTGTACTAATTTTTCCATGATAGATGATTTTAAGTAGTTCTTTTAAATCCTATGCTTATAATTATTTGTAAAAAGTAAAACACTCCAATTTGAACAGTTATTTAACAAACTGTGACTATCAGAGTAGTAGCTAGTAAATTTTAATAGAAACTAGGATTAAAATAAACCAAAAGTTCAATATAAAAATGTTGTACACAGTAGCAAAAAAAATATAATAATGGTGAAAGTAACATTTTGCCAGCAATCAAATACAGTGTGATTGATATAAGTGTGCCAGCTGTTTTATTCAAAAGTTTTAAGAGATATAAAAAAATGTTAAATTGTAACTGCCTTGGATTTTTTATTTTAAAAAAATTTTTGTCAAGATGAAAAATTAATTTTAGCCACCATTTTCCAATATGGCCGCCAACTTTGATTTTTCTTATAGAAGACACTATATTTTATGCATTTTTTAGAAAGTAGATGCCATTTAAAAACGTTTTTATTCTTGGCATTTTTTTCCCTAAAGCTACTCATTTAGGAGTTACGGCGTGATAAAAACTAAAAAAAAATGACTTGCAGTGTACATTCTGCGCCATGTAGCTACTAAATGAGTAAGTTTAGAGAGAAAATGATTAGAGTAAATAAGTCTTAAAATTGCATCTACATTCTAAAAATTCCAATTACAATTATAAAAGTTTTCTTATTTAAAAATTTACTGCCATTTTGGAAAATGGCGGCCATTTTTAAAATAATGGAATCAATATTTTTTATGTTTTTAATGGTTGTTAATGATTTTTAGAATGTAGATGCAATTTTAAGACTTATTTACTCTTAGCATTTTCTCTCTAAACTTACTCGTACAATTCAACATTTTTTGATATTTCTTATAACTTTCGAATAAAACAGCTGGCACACTTATATCAATCACCCTGTATTAATATAATGAATGGTAAGTCTCATTGGCAGGAAAACTAACATTACCCCAGAAGTAAATAGTTTTAGTTTTGGTTTTGTTTGAGTGTACAATACACTTGATGTGAAATTGTGGTAGTGGAGGGTCATCATCTCCTCTCAAAACTGCAAAATTGTGAATTGTTGATCACGCAATCTTTACAGACATTTTCTGTGTACGCAATAAGGTAACTCGGATGTTTAAGCTGCTCACACAACTCCAATGTAAATTACCTGACCTGAGATTCCTGACCAATTTCTGGTAAAAACCGTTAGCACTGCACAACACGAAAATTTTAAAACAATTTCTATAAATACTCAAGCAATTCTGGAATATTGGGAAAATACTTGGGTAGAATTTTAAAGAAAAAGTAAACAAAATGAGCACACAAAATTGGTTAAGCATTTGACTGATTTAATCCTAGTTCTTCAACATATTTTGCCATAAAAAAAACTATACACCTTAGAAAAACTTATAATAACTTGGAAATTAAATGTTTGGGTTAACTTTCTTATGACTTAAACATGTTTTTTTGTGTGTTGTATTGAGATTTACTCTGCTGAACTAACCACAGTTAATGTTAAACATTGTTACTTTACTGTAGTTTTAGGCCAACAACATGAATTTAAAATCTTAAATTAAATTTGATAATTGTTACAAAATCAGCTACCATCACTATAAAATATAGCAGCTTAAGATCGGTAGTATTGCACTAGATAACATTAGGCAAACAGCCAAACAAAAGAAACAAACTTAACAGGTTAAAAGAACTAGAAAATTAAAATTAACTTCTTATTAAGAGTATCAAACTATGCCTAATTGTTTATGTGTAAAATCTTTCCTTAATGACTAATTCAAACTTTTTTTATCTAAATGTTGATCTTTAATATGAGTTTCATAAAAAATAAAAGAACCACCTGATAATTATTTTTCTAAATGTATGTGAACACTGATGTTACAAAATTTGTTTTGTGATTTCGATTTGCATTTTTTTAGGCCAATAACATTTTTTAAACATTTTTTTGTAAACAATTGTTTATAGAGTAAGGTATTTAACCCTGAACAGCCGGTTAGATAATACAATATGCCACTGTATTTAGCCACAATTTTTAGGGTTCATTAAAAAAATTTTAAACAAAATTTTACAAAGCAGTTATAATGTGTGTTTGTATTTTTACAGACAGTATTATTATATTATTTGTAGCCTATGCATGGTAATAAAACCTAACCAAAACTAATTGCCTCCATTTAAATTTTGTAAAAACATATTTCATACTATAGAAATATGGATGAGTCATAAAAATACACCACAAATGAAATAAAATGTCATTAGCCTATATACATTTTGTATGAAATTATATCTACATTTTGGAAATAAGTTTAGTTTGTTGTAAATTATCCATGAAAATTGAATCTTTTTGTTTGTTCATAAAATCGGCTGACAGGGAAATATCGAGCAATCCGACAAAGAAAACAAGATTCAAAATGCCAATCTAAAAAAAAAATATCACGGGTGAGTGTGGATAGCCAACATCATAATTTTTCATTCATGCTTAATGTTAGTGATGGTCAAAACCAGAAATTTTGAATCTCAAAACCGAAACCGAAACTTTAAAAATCGAATCCCGAATCTCGAATCTCAAAACCTAAACGCGAAACTTTTTTACTTAGCTGGTTACAAAGGTCAAGGTTACAAAAATACACATAATCATAAAATGTTAAGTATGTAATCAAAACTGAAAGAGATCGACTCCGGACTGTGACATAACATAGATTATGTGAATGTGACTGATAATCTTAAAACCCAATACAATATAAATTTTCATAAACAACTAACAAAAAATAAATTAAACTTTAACACCAACATAAACATACAAATATTATATTAATTAGAACATTTAGTGGTTAATATTTCTTTGTGTTTAGTAAATATTGATGTGAAACTGAATTGTACCAGTTATAGTATTTAAGATACCTTTTGAAGTTCAGGATAAAATTTACTTGTTTCATTACGTTAATGGTTTGCTCTGTTGCTACCAGCTTGTTTGTAAGCAGTGTTAAAAACAATAACAATGGCACAAAAAAATGTCAGCAGTTTCAAAAATAAAACTGCAAAAATCCTCAATTTCGAAACTTTTGAATCTCGAAACTTGGTGATCGAATCTCGAAACCGAAACTTTTCCTAAGTTTTGATGGTTTTGAGATTTGAGATTCGGTTTTGACACATCACTACTTAATGTTTTATGTAAATATGTTGATTATGAGCTTGAATATAAGTTAAATAATGGATCGGTCATTTTGTGACCGATGGTAGAACAGAACCGCCATGATTGGCCAAAAAACTATTGATCGGCAGTTCTAGGGTTGAAACAAAGTCTTACATCATTTTTTGACATTATACTGTGTATAAACAGTTCAACCTACATAAAAAATTAAAAAAAAATTGTTCACTTTTTGATACTAAATCATAACTAACTATAGCTTAATTCAAGATAAATTTGTTACTATGAGAGAATTGTATAAATAATATGAGATTGCACATAGTATGGTAACTCATTGTACGATATAGTCTTTATAGCTGCGCATAGCTTTGAGCTGCTTTTTTACGTGTTTTATCAAATCGTAAGGTTGTACGAGCAATGAAATGTCTAAACCTACCGCGTTCAACCTGTCTTTGATTTCTCCGTCCTTAAAGAACAGATTGAGAGGTCGTCCATTGACCTCTGTGATGACCCAGGTAGAGAGGGAAAGACCGTCCAGAGTGGGAGTCCGAGATGACAGTCCGCTGTTGGCCGCAATGCTACCAACCGTCACGTCCTTCACTTCCGCAGTGTTACCTTCCAAGACGATCCCTAGGTTCTGACCCTCTGACTCCCTCCGCAAAGCAAACACTCGGCCACATGGAACCCTTCTTATCACAAATTCAATCTGTAACAAAGAGTTATGAACTGTTTTATTGTCTACAACAGTGACAGTAAAGAGTTACATCTGAACTCTTTTAGCAAATTTCCAATAGGTAATACGGTAATAAGCTATTACCGTAGGTCTCATGGTAAGACCTGGAACCGGGCCTGATTTGCTTTTTCGTTTTGATTTCCCTAGAGGCCAAAAATACCATCTGTTCAAACCATATGTGTGTGTGTGTGTGCGTTAGCATGATAACTTGAGCAAAAATGCGCCAATTTTGATCAAATTTGGTACAAACGTGTAAACCTAGATTTATTCTAACGAAACGAGTTCGAGAGCCAGCATGATCAGGCCATGGGGTTTTATGGTAAAATTTATTTTTCCCATTTTTAGCGAATTTTCCTATAGGGAAGTAGCTATTACTGTAGGTGGCACCATAAGACCTAGGCCTGGGACCGATAAAAAATTGTAATTTTGAAAATCCCATGTTATTCTTAAGGAGAATATTGTAAAATGTTGTAGTTTGCTTGTTTATGGATATATTTTGATAAAACTTGGCAAATTTATTTATGTGATACCAAGCTATTAATATTTTACTAAAAACACAACTTTATTAGTTTTCCTGTAGCAGCAAACCTAGGTACCTAATGTTATTTAAATGTAAATAGTAATTATCTAATTTCCAAAACTGAATCTTGATTATACTTTAATAGAGTTTAATATTTACTAGTGTACATGTTGCTTGAAATCAAGCAATTGCAAAGAAGTACAGGAGTTACATATAAACAAATGACTTGTTCAAAAACTAATAACAGTCATAATTTCCCATGATTTTAAAAGAGTCAACTAAAAGATTATTAACTAATGGAAATACTCACAATTTACATAATAGTCCTATTCCAGTTTAAAGGGTCAATTTTTAACTATCAAACTGCCCATGGACGGGAAAAGGTAAGCTTACAATTTAAGTCAACGTAAAAAGGCTGTCAGCTTTTATAATGTACCATACCTAAGTTATTTAGCCAATTTGTAGACAATAAGGTGTAGGCTATTTTAAACTCTACAGAACAGAGTTAGGCAAAAACTGGCAGAACTCTGAAATGGTGTTATTTATCATCATAGGCATACTCATATGCCAAATCCTTAAAATAGAAATTCAATACAGCTCGCCCTCGCTAGTCCGACGCTTTGAAATCCGACGTACTCGACGCGCCGTCAGGCGCCGTTACGGGGGCAAAAAATCAAGCATGCAGTGACATGAAACACTGTGACTCACGTCTTGTTGCCGTCTGAGCACTTCCGTTCAGTGTTCAGTTGACTTTCGGGACGTGCAGTACACTTTCCCGGTGCAGTGTACTTTATTCAAAGGCCTCGTAAAGTAATGTTTAGTGGGTATTGTAGGCCTACTCACATAGAGACTTGGGGCACCCTTGATAAGACGCTGAGCATCTGTAGCGTTTTGTACCAGGATACCAGCGACAGACAACAGTTGGTCTCCTATATGCAGAGCATTGTACAGCATGGGGTGCTCTTTTTGTTTCCACCCAGCCACCCTGCAAGCACATTTGTATTGAAAATAAATAATAGAATAAATAAATCTAATTATTAATTAATTAAATTAACAGAATTAATTATTTTGATGACTGATGGGTTCGTATAGAGTTTATAAATCATTCCCATTTTTTTTTTAAGATAGCGGGTGAAACTGTAGAGTCATTCTTATGTCTTTGCATTTAACATATGTTTTAAAAATATATATTGTTGTTGTGGAGGATGACTCTTGTTTAAAATAATAAATCACATTCTTTACTTGCAGTATTTATTAATATATTATATTTTCATCATACAATATGGTGTCAGGTTGTAAAATAATCATCTAAACATCAAAATCAAAATCTTTTATTGAAGTCAGACTATATACATGGGTATTACAAACGTCAACTTAAAATACTTCTAAATATGAATAGTAAAATAATGCTAATGAAAGTACAAAACTGGTACTACAACACATCAAGTAATAAAAACAAAAACCCCTAGTATCAGGAGACTAGCACGAGTTGACTTTCATTTGACCATGGTAGTTCTTTTCTACTTTATGTCTGTTTGTTCCAGATGAATCTAATCGTACAGCCGATAACGACTATAAACTAGATATCGGTATTGCATCATACGGCTTCTTTGTCGTTAGCTGTTAGGTCGTTGGAAACGTATTGCTGTAATTTTGTCCTGGGAAACTAATGATGGTTATGAAGATTTAGTTTTCTGTCCAGAACGTCAAAATATGTTGTCTATCCGAAAAAGTCGGATATATAAAAGGGATAGTGTCGGATATCAAATTTGGGCTCGGTTCGGATACGAATATCCGAACCGAGCCCAAATTTGATATCCGAATTTGAACCGAATCCGACCTGATTTTTCGGATATCTGCACACCTCTAGTTTTGCGCAAGGTTTCTCGCCATGATGAACATTTTAGTACATAGCTTATGGGGGTGTGAATTGTAGTTTTCTCAAAAGTTCATGGGTACTTTGGGCTTTATGGATAGGGAACAAATATGACTTGTTTTTGCAAAAATTTTAGTAAAAATCCATTAAGTCAAACTGAAATCCTCCTAGTCTGCAGGTTTGCTGCGGCGGGAGTGTTTTCTTTAAAACTGGCAACAACTTAATTAAACATTGGAATATAATGTTTACTTCACAATTCGCAGTAGTGTATCCATTGCTTACCAGACACCATTGAACACATCAACAAGTGCGATGGAGCCAAGACAGTCCTTCCTCCGTAGCTGCAGTCTCACTCCGCCTGGATGCATGATCTCTCTCCTCAACTGCATCACCTGCTGTTCTCTCAGTGTGAGGCGGGAGTTACTAGCTGGCTCACTGGTAGCTGCACCCTGGCACAACACAATGAGAACAATACTAGAGGTTTGTTTGGTATTTTTTTAGGGATGTGTTGATTCTCCTCAATACCGCTGATACTTAGTCGTTGGTATCGGTACCGAGAATTCAAAAGTTGATTCTGATCCCGATTCCTGTCACACGTACGCCATTGGAAAATTGCCACTATTTCCGTGAGTGCGCAAGACGACAATGATTTTACGTGACAATTATTACGGCCGCGGGTGTTGTTTAATGATTTTGCCGCCATTGGGCAAGACAACATCAACATTCCTATGACAGCGGGAGTTGTTGATAATGTCCATACGACTTCGAGAGACGATGATTGTGTTTGTTACGGCTGATCCATATTCAGGATTTTGCCACGACCGTGAAAGACAGTGATGATGTTTCCGCGACTAAGAAAGATATGCAGGGTTTTGAAGTGATACAAGAAGACGATGATGATGTCTCAACAACCAAGGGAGATGATCATGATATTACCTCAAGTTTTGCTTCACTATAAATATCAGGCTGGCACACCTCTGGTCATGATAACATTTTCTTTTAGATTTTTGTTGTTAGATCTTCATTTACCTTAAATTATTAAGTTATTTTAGAAGGTTTGAACTTATATTGGCTTGTTAGAACTTTTCATTGCTGTGTACATTTGATCTTTACTAGAAAACATCCCATTATCTCAAAATGATTTATAGGAGTATATAAAGACAGGGGTTTTTGTATTATTAGCAATCCATTCAGAACATTTTTTAAAACTAAAAAAAATGGTATTGATATGGAGAATTTATTTTTCAACTGCAGCACTGCTGTCGGTCTACATTTATTCTATTTGTCTATGGTATCGGTATCAAGAATTTATGTGTTGGTATCGACACATAACTAGAATTTTTTTATCTTTAAAAATTAAACACTGTAGTGTACCTGGCGGAAAGGGCTAGGGGCTGGTTGTAGGGTCCGAATTCGGTCTGCTGCTACAGGGGGAGGGTTTTCTGTGCTCCTTCTTCTTGGTCTATGGGATCCTCGGCCTCGACCAGTAGGCGCACTCTACAACAACAAAATTGCATTGTATTAACCATAGTCTCAAAAGGAACAAATAATGCTAGTAACATAAAGCATTCTCACACTTTGTTTGACTCAAAAGTGACTGAAATAATTGCAGTCCAATCGGCAATATTTTCATTAGTATTGTGGGACCTTACACACATTTTTCACTGCCTCATTTGAACTCCTGATTAGCAAACTTGAAAAGTATGATTTTAGAGACGGTGTTTTTGAATTAGTTGACTGATATTACAGTTAATCCCCACCAGGCTGTGCAATTGGTTGATGTTAGGTTTCCATAACTTGATTGTACATACCTGAGGTTGGATGGCAGCATTGACTGGATGTACGTTTGATACAACCGTTGTTGCTGGAGTTGGAGCTGGAGCAGGTGCAGGAGATGAGATGGTGGGGGAAAGTTGACTAGAGGGTAGGAACACATGTTCATAGAGTGCGAGTTCAGGCTCAGAAGCATGATCTGGTGTAGGGTTTGTGGCGGCGTTCGAGTCGACAGTTTGGTTGGGACTAGGATGCACACCACTTTCGGTATGACGCATGCTAGAACTGCGATGTATGTTTTGACCATCCAGCCATTGACGGGGGTTGGTTAAAAGTGGAAGATCGTTGGTTCTGAAATGTAAACACATTTCTCAAATTTAAATCCAAACAGATTATTTACTATTTAAAAATATGTGCCAATTACAGTTAGTTCCAAGCAGACAAAGCACTCTGTTGAATACCTGACAGGTCTGTGCAGCGCAGGGGAAGGTGCTGGTCGTTGCCTGCGAGTGACTCTTGGAGTGATTGGCGGAGTAAAGAACTCCTCCTCTTCTTCTTGGTTGATTGCCTCACTGACAAAGCTGAAGTCAAAGGTATCACTTTGTATAGGTGCAGTGGAAGCTTCATTAGTGCTGCTACTGGGCGGATCTACTTGTATCACAGTTACATTCTCTTCAGGTGGTGCAGACATTGTTCTGTTCAGTATTGGCCGAGATGATCTGTAAAAGTATCATTGTTGACTTTCTTTAATTTCATAGACACAGTAGAAGGTGTTACCTAAAAATGTTATAGCATTGGGAGTTGTACCTGCCAACTAAAAAGAATTTAAGCTATAAAACATTAAAAATCATTTGGGTGTATTCTATAGTTCACAGTGGAATGGCAAATAATTCTTAGCCAGGATCATTGACTGAAAGTCCAAGGATCAAGGACAGCTGTGTTCTGTTATGAACGATCAAAAATATCATTATCAAACTTATCACCGCATTTTTGGTTTAACCACCTAAATATGGGACAAGAGAGTTTAGAGTAAGTTGTTAGGTACACTAACCTAGCCGGAGCGGGTGACTGCGTTACATAGACTGAGCTCACCGATGTGTTAGTATTGGTTTGGGAGTGTTCTTCCTCTCTGCTGCTATGGCCTGCAACTCCTGCAATAAACAATCCTACATTCGAAGTGTTTATAACCAGCAACATGGCTAACCAAATATAACTGTATGCTAAAAGGATCAAAGTAATACAAGTGTTTAATTTTAACAACAATACAGATTCAAATTAAACTAAAAATCCAACTTTTTTTCAATATAGATCTTTTATATTATAATACAGTCATAAAAATAAAAGCATGGCCATAAGTATTGTCCTCATTGTAAAATGTATGCCCATCAACATATCCTTTAAATTATACAAATTTGCAATAAAACTCAGAGTTTAACAACCGAAGAAGATATCCTATATATTAAAACGAAACAGGGTTTTTTTATTTCACGATTTTGAATCAACCACTTGACGGATTCTTATGATTTTTGTGTTGAAAGAAAGATAATTTTGAGAGCTAGGGAATGTCGAAGACATAATTTTATTTTAAGGTTTCAGTTTTTTAGAAATTAAGTTAAGTTTTAATTTTCCAAAAGTCTAGCAGCCGACGGACGAGTTAAAGTCGTTTTAGTGGTGGTTTAACTAACAGCTGGTTTCTAACTGTCATTGAAATGTTTATGTTAAGTTGTTTGTATACAAAAATATTGATCGTCAGAGTTTGCCTACACACTATTTTACTTTAAAATGCAGTTTATTTTCTACCGTAAAAGATCTATATGTTATCAGGAGATTGTGTAATTTTTAACTTAACATTTTAAACGTATAATCAAGTTTTGTCATAAATGCAATCCGTCTAGCCTAAGTGTAAGTGCTTAATCCTTTAATATATAAGTGGTTTACATGTTGATACATCTTTTTCTAGATGTTTGAATATAAGTATGACTGCATACAGTACACATTTTATTCGTAACGAAAATGTCAACCGGTGTAGTAGGTCTCCAGTAAGCTGCAGGGTGTCAGTAGAAACCAAAATCAATTTATACCATATCATAACTTAACTATCCCAGTTACATGATTCAGAAAATTAGAAAGAGGGTACATTCCAAAAGTAGACCAAAAGGCTCGGATCTCGGATGGGCTGGGCAGGCTCTGCATGGCGGAGAGAAGATACTTCAACTTTTAAAAGTGTATTCCAATGAGTACTACAAGGTAGACGACCACTTGGAAGACCAAGTAATGAAAGACATTTTCAGACTGGTATCTCTTTCTGTCTTCCTGTCATCCAGAAATGGCAGGGGATAGAAGAGAACGGGAGGCCAGGATCATTTTAGAGGTTTCAGTGGCCAAGGTGGTAAAATAAGGTACGGTAAGTGATAGTAGGCCTATGCAGTGGAAGGTGGTATGTAGCTACTGTACTCAAAGCCAGTGTGTGTGAATCGGCCAACAAGTTGTAAACTAGCTGTTCTGAATCATATTCAGTTTTAATTGACTACCTACTCGATTCCCGTACGTAGGACGGGCCAACAGCTCGTTAGTTATTACTTTGAAGTACCAGTAAGTACAGAAAGAGCATTACCATTGGCAATTGGCTGATCAGCTGTTTGGGCAGAGACTGCAGGTTCAATACCAGGAACAAGCGTGGAGGGACCAGCTGGGGGAAGAGGGAGTGGAGAATTGGGGTCTCGTGTTGGCAACAATGGGAGTCTAAGCTCTGGCAGCCGACTATAAACATTCTCTTTTGGTGATAAGATCCTCATTTCTCGTAACTTGGCACTCAGACTGTCCACCCAATCCATCATCACATCCCTGCAAATTATAATGAATTAATTAAATAAAGGTTTATATTACTTTAAAATACACACTGTATAGCCTACTGTCTATGTTTATGTATTTTACTAGTAAGAAACAGTTTTGGGTATAAGCCTACTTGAGCAAGGTTCACTAAAGTAGATTATATAATCATAGATAACCAACTCATGTAGACTTATCATCCCATTGAAAAATTTGAACTCGGTTTTTGTGTCTAGTTCATTTTGGTGACACAGGGCAGTAGTGTAGACAAAATATTGTTTCCATTATTTTAGGGTTAATTTCACGAGTTGTGCTTTACTGTTTGGTAAACTAGGGGGCGAGTGATTGTTTATGATTGGATAGTTTTATTGATTTAGCGAGGTTTCGAATAACTGAACTAACAAGAAACAATTTGTAAACAAAAACACGATCCTAACAGCACCGGACGGAACTAATAATAAAATTGTCTTCAGCTGGTCCATAAGGATGATAAATCTACCAAGGTAGTATATTTAATCTATGATAGATGGACCCTACATATCTGTAAATTAGTGCACATAAAACTGTGAATGATTGTATTGGATAAACTACACATCTAAAATCATATTTACTATACTATATTAATATTAAATTATTAACATAGGCAGTATGTACAACATTTAAAGAACCAACATAAATCAGTTTCTAAAAATGTTTAGGTTTAGACTAATACTATATTTAAATTTAATTTTTTGGTAATGGTAGACCATAATCAACATTTTTAAATTGTTAAGTTCTAGCCCCCATTAAAACAATGCCCTGTACAAATTAATTCACTACCACTATATTAATAAGACTGGCTGGGTAGCTAAGTGGTTATACTGAAAACAATCTTAAGATTGCCGGATCGGTCCTCCTGGGTAAAGTCAGTTAGCTATTGATGGTAGGTTTGAAACTGGACCAAGCTGTTCCTAATCATTGGGCCTTAAATAAATGATCCTGGGCCAGGCCAAGGACCTACTAGAAAAACAGGCCATGCTGCAGGAACCATGGCATCACACTTGTGGTTAGAATCACAGCCATATCCCATATGTTTTAATTAAATAAGCTAACTGTTAATGTCTGGCAACTTTAGTACAACTATCCACCACTATGACATAGTGTTGCACTACCCGTGTTGCAGCATGGCCTATTTTTCTAGTGGGGTTGGCCTAGCTAATGAAACAGCTGATCTTGGTCAGTCAACTAGATCTACATAGATCATCTCACTTCATTCCACACTCATCCTTCACTAATATTTGGGTTCAAATATGCACCCAGGTGGTGACCTCATTTCAATTAATATTTGATAATTGAATTAATAATATATAGTTACACAATACACAAAGTTACACAAAGTCTTAGGCTACGTCTTGGTTCTAAATTAACCCAACAAACGTAACTCAAATAGGATTTATACATAAATAATACTCCATTACTTAAACCTGAAAAAAACATAGCAGTAGTGAATTTATGGTAAAGGTTTAAAGTTTTTTGTTTTGAGAAAATTAATTTGTTTTAAGAGTAATAGAAAGATATTATACCATGATGATGCAGTTAGGCGAACAACCTCCTCTTGAAGTGTTATGACAAATTCAAACTCGTCCTCCAAGGCACAGATGGTAGGTGAGATGTGAACTGTGTGTGCAAGTGATACACTCCAATCTGGTTTGTGAGTGGCAGCAATCTTAGTGTCCTGATACAACTCCAAGTAAGGTTCTGTGTCATCGTGCACACAAAACACTGTCCACACTCGATCCCCCTTCTGTATCAACAACAAAGTATAAATTACATTTTTGAAGGATATTAAGGCTATTTTATGCTTTTATTTTAAGGTAACAGTAAATAAGAATCAGATTTTGTGCTTCATGCTAAAACATACAGCTTTAACAAAGGATTTGTTATCAATACGCTAGTATTACAAAATAGTGTTGGTTTCTTTCTGTGTATTTATTACTATCTACAAGAAGAACAAGCAAATGAATTGTCTCAGCTGAAATTAATTGTACTACAACATAGTTTATGAACCTAGCAAGTACATAAGCCTATTCAATCATGTCCTCGAAATTTCTAAGGACAACACATCAGATGCTCCAAATGTATGACATGGTGTTCATGGCAGTAAATATTTATTGGTCTGCAAGCCTACAAAAAAAAACCACAATGTTGATAATACTTACTTTATTACATTTACTTTCTATGGTGTCTCTCATTAGGCTGACTGGGGTGTGGTTTGGTGACACCAGCTATTATTCACATTACGACTATGAGCATTTATTATTAAATAGATGAATTAAAATGCCTTTATTTCCAAGTGTCTCTCAGAACAAAACTGTAATAGCAACAATTATAATAAAAGACAATTCGTAAGATGAAATAAATACCCCCGCCGCAGCAAACCTGCAGACTTATCAAATTTCCATTTGCCTGATTGGATTTACACTTAAATGTCTTCTTTAAAATATCACATTTATTCCTTATTTAAAAAGAATTAGTTTAACGAGAACTTAGGTTACCGGCAACAAGGAGGGTGAAAAAGTGTTTTTTGTTGTAAAATGTTAATCGGTACTGTAGTTTAGTAAGAAATGAATGTATTTTCCAAATTTGATCAAAATATGTTCATAAACAAGCAAACTACAACAGTTTACTTATTCTCCATAAGAATAACATGGAAATTTTAAATTTACAATTTTTTGGAATTTTCTCCGTAATCATTAGGCACATAACAACGCTTCAATATATAAAGATTTTTTTTTAACTCCACAAAATGGTTTGGAAAGAAATAGTGAAATTTTGTGTTTTTAGGGTCAAAAATGGGAAAAACCTATTTTTACCCCATAAAACCCCCCATAAGCCCCCGTTCCCATAGTCTGATCATGCTGGTTCGCGAACTTGTTCGAACAAATGTAGGTTTACATGTTTGTACCAAATTTCATCAAAATAGGATCACTTTTGCTCCAGTTATTGTGCTAACGGACACACATATCTTATCTTACTAATACTGTATTATAAATGTGAAAGTTTGTGTGTTTGTTTGAAGTTCAATCACGCATTAACTACTGGACGGATTGGGCTGGCATTTGGCACGATGATAGCTCACAAATTTTAGTTTAGGGTCCCAGTTATTTAGAAATTAAGTTTTAATTTTTGAAAAGTCTAGCAGCCGACGCTAAGATTCTAAACTAGCTTTTGGTGTGATATAATTTGTTTAACATAACAGCTGTAAACATTCAGAGTTTGTAACACAAATTCAGCATTTGGATAAAATTAAAAGACATACTAAGGGTTGACTTATTTATACTATGTGTAATGCTAATCATTGATACGTTCAATTCTTCGATAAGAGGATGACAGATTATTTAAATATACATAGGTAAAATACTAGGATGTTCAAAGGATTTTTTAAATAAATCTTTGTAATCTTCGGTTTGTTTTAGTGCAATATAATTTTCTTTTAACTAACAGCTGGTTAAATATAAAAATGCTCTATAAAACCATATAGAACTGTGATGAGGTTATTTTATTTACTCTGATTTTGTCATTGATTATAGGAAATATGTAAGATTAGTAGACCACCGAGATAAGTAACACCATCGATGTATACAAGTCGAGGCTCTGTACACGAGTTTTAAAAAAGGATATGCAAATGATTTTACTGCTTAACTTTTTTGTTTGGATTAGGCCCGAAAATATTGATGTCATAAAGAAGGAGGTCAAGAATCCTCAGGAATACGATTTTAAATTACCACCACAACCTCAGACAGGTTTTATCCAAAGATATGCAGATGAATTACATAGATTGAACACAACGTCATCATTGACCTAGGATACTGCAATTAGATTAACCACCCTTTTATGAAATCTAAACAGTTGTTTGGCGTGTGTTTATAGTTGTGGTTACGTTTGGAGGCGCTGAATATTTGATATAGACAATTAATTACGTCACTAGCTTTACTAGGGTGTTTACATTTTAAATTCCTTTTAACATGTGACCAGTTCTTTTTTTCCAAATAAATATTATTTTATTTTTGACTCAGCTGTTTACAAAACAAACTATATGTTGTTGTTTTTACTTTTCTTTGTTTACACTTATTTATTTAGCTAGCAATTGATGCAGTAAAATTGATATAAAGGATATCTGTGGACTATTCGTTTAATGATGTAAGGACACCAACGTTATGTGTACTGTGAATTTTATTGGACGTTTTCGTTTTACTTTAGGGAGTTCCTATTCAGATCTACTGGAAATTGTGTATAGTATGAATAATTGTATTGTGGTGATATTGATTACGGAAGAAGCAGGTATGTGATGGAATTGGAAGGAGATATTGTTGACAAGGCCTATACAGTTCTCAACTGATAATTACTCTTTCTACTGTAGGCTGCAATAAAATTTGTCATTAAACGTGTAAGCTAGCTGTTCTGAATTATACCATAGATAAAAGGAGTATAGACACAGTTTTAACTGACTACTCCCGTACGTCGGACGGGCTAACACCTCGTTCATATTTAAAGGGAATTAAAGAATTTAGTCAGCTTTTTCAACTTAAAAAGTTGGTTCTATGATATGAAAAGCATTAAAAAGTTATAAGATTTACCAACAGGGTGCAGCACTATTATTTTTTTGCATTTATGAAAACCGGGAATTTGAACTAAACAGCAACAAAAAACTGTGGTACACAATGAGAACTGTCAAAGTAGGATTGTTTACTGTTATGTTTATGTTTTTGATTTCCTAAAAATTAGTGATATTTTGTGAATTTTTAAAAATTTATTTTTCTCTATTGTTTAGGGGAATTTCTAGAACAATATGGCTATGGTAGATGTGTAATATGAGTAGTGTAAATATAAAGGAGCAAATTTTATCAAACTGTGTTCTCCCCTATTGCAAATGCAAAGCTTGAGTATAACTGCAATAAGCATTTTATACTTATATGCCAGCCCCGTACGAAGGACGGGTACTCTGCTAGTATATCCCTCCGAGTGTTTTGGCCTTAATGTCTGCCTATTTTTTGCTCATTTGCAAGGTTTTATTAAAACGGATCTGAGAAGCTTGAAAACAATGTTAATTATACTGTTCTATATACCATTTTGTTTGGAAAATCATGGGCTTCAATATTATACATAGAACATAAGGAACATTTGTTTCAAAAAAATTTTTTAGGTAAAAAAGAATTTTGGAAAATTAAAAAAAAAAATAAGTTTGCGCTCAATGAAATTGTATAAATTATAGGCCTATAAATATTTGAAAATAGCCACTTTGTTCTAAATTTTATGAGGATTACAAATATATAATAATATAAGGAAGTAGATTTGCAAATAAATAAGTTATGGGCAAAAAACAGATTTCAGTACATAGCGTTTAGCTAAGAATGCATAGCCTAACCATAGCTAGGAATCTGGCTGATAATTTACATCAATATCACTACCTACTTCTTCAGGATCATCAACCAGCCCTTCAAAATCACTTAAATCTTCTTATAATGCACCACGTATATCACTACTTTTGATTTTTAACACTAAAACAATGATAAACGTAATAAATCACATCAGTCATCGGTCCGAGGTTAACCGAGCTGTTTACAAATACGCACGTCAGCTGTCTGCTACAATATTTTCGGAACTAAAATGAATAGCGCTTAGAGACAGACCTCCGGAGAAAGCTCTGAATCTGTCAAATAAAACGATACCTAACTCGATCCAGTTCAATCCGATTTTGTCAGTCATAGAGCCTTCGCCGTAAACAGTGTTTGTGAGTCGCTGCAGCAACACAAAACACTACACAAAGTGTGTTATGTGTTGCTGCAGCGACAAATAACACTCGGAGGGATATAGATATAACTGAGCTAACCTATGTTACAAGACAAAATTCCAAAATCATATGATAATTTACTTATTTGTTATTTACATTTCTATTTATTTACTATTTATTTATAACTGTGATCAAGTCCTAAGAGCCGAAACATGTTAGTTATTCAATAAACTAATAACTTAAAGGGTACTAAATTTGTAATTATTTATTTCATTTACTAATATAATATAGGCCTATATATATATATATATATATGGATTTGAACGGATGGTGTTTTTGGCCTCTAGGGATCTCAAAACGAAAAAGTAAATTGGTCCCGGGTCCAGGTCTTACCATGAGTACTACGGTAATAGCTTATTCCTTATATGGGAAATTCGCTAAAATATGTATGAATACAATTATTTAACAGTTTTTATACAATTATTTTATTCATGTTTCTTTTGAAAGCCAGGACCCCCAGCTGTTTTAGGTCAAAGAGGATATCATTGTAGATCTTTGGGCCAAAGTAGGAACCATTATTTTTACCCACATCTAGTAGGCGCACTTTTGGAAAGTGGAAAGACTCAGTGGAAGAGGCTACAAGTCTGCGTCCTGCACACAGCATCTATTGACAGCAACCCCGCAGCATCCCGAGAAGGGGATACCCGTTCACGCTTATGGATACCGTAAACCAAACAAATTGTGGAGTTCTGCACTTTTTTCAAATGGGACATCTCTTCCCTTGAGATGGTGTTGCCGGATGCAGGAAAACCGTGATGGAGCACCGACAACACTAGTGAATGTACCAGCTGCAGCTTGGCTGTCTCTGACAGGATGTTTTTGTATCGGTACAGACCACTCAGCCTTCCCAAAGCCACCTGGGAAACATAAGTGACGTATCCGAGAATGTGAGGCAACTATCAAGTACCCAACGTAGCCAACGTCTTGACAGTATCTCTCACTATTATGTGCAAATAATCATAGAAATTAATTGTTCCATGGATCAAACATACTCCCTTAGTAGATTTGTCATCCTTATGGATCAGCTGAAGACAATTTCGTTGTTAGTTCCGTCCGGTACCACTAGGACTGTGTTTTTGTTTAGGATTTGTTTCTTGTTATTTCAGTTATTCAAAACCTTGTGTAACCAAATAAAACAATCTAATCATAAACAATAACTCGTCCCCTAAATCAAACAGTAAAGTGCAAATCATGAAACTAACCCTAAAGTAATAAAAGCACCCAGTGAAAAATTAGCTTCAAATTTAACAATGGGATGAGAAGTTGCTGGTTAGTCTATGATTGTACATTGTTTTTCAGCAATCATACTGATAAGCAAAGAATACAATCTGCATCAATAAATTCCAGTCAATTTAATTTTTCGTGTTTCTCCTTAACTCTTGGCGGCTTTAACTGCATACAATTACCTTAAATCTTTATTTTACCATTTATTTTACTCCTAGTTATTAGTTTTACTCTAGTTATGTATTTTTGCATTTTTCACCCATATTCAAATTATTCTGCCAACATTTAATAGGCCTATGCTTTTTTAATCAAAATACACAAAGAGTAACAATGTTATGTTTATTGCAGAGGTAAGCCAACAACAGAGGTGGTAAGCCAAAAATTATATACCTTTGAGTGTGCACCTCCTTTCTTTTCTGTAGGCAACAGTTTCCGCAGCCAGGCATTTTTATGAATTTCACGAAATAAGACATTGCTTGGAAATGTCATTATGTAGTATTTTTAAGAGCTGCTACCTGAAAATCAAAGTACAGTCGGTTAAATGATCCACAGATCAATGAGACCACATAGATTGGAGTCAAATTGGCTTACAAATTAAAAAAAAAACTTATTAATTATAGCCAAGAGACTATTGGGTAGGGAGCGTATTGGTTAACACTTCAACTGGCAGTGTGAGTTATAGTCACAGTTAGTCACAGTAGTTGCGTTTGTATGTTTTTTTACACAAGAAAAATTTTTTTATACAATTAAGTTAATGAATTGAATAATTTGTACCAAATGATAGATAAGATTTCAAACTTACATTTAACTACATAACTTTATATCACAAACGGGTCAATGTAATTTAGCAAGTCAGTTGTACCATGTTGGTCAGTCCGTCACAAAACTGTCAAACATGGTATGTTTTGTAAAATTACAGCAAGGGATACTTTCTTTCTACCGGAAGATATTTTGTTGTTAATGGCCCATATATAAATATTATTTCGGTGACATTTTTATGATACTCTCAAAACAATAACAATTCAGTAACTTTTTTATGTGTTTGTAAAATGGCAGAGCAACTATAATAGTCGCAGACATAAAACACAATGTTATTATAGTTTGCTTCCAAACAGGCCAATAGGCTAACTTTTCTTTTTTTAGTTTCAAATTGCATAACCAGAAATGTGTAGTTTGTATAGGTTAATTTTTTTTACAACTCAGTATTAAAAACCCGGTTTGCAGCACAACTGAACCTGAGCACTGTTTTTATTTTGGATTTGTATCATGAAACTTCCTAAAAAATGACTGTATTTTGGATGTTTTTATATTTTTATGCAGGATCATAGGATAGGCTAATACGTTTTGCAATGTTGGTAGTCCTGCTGTCGGTTGCTGAATGTTGATGTACTGTATGTAAAGAATGTCTGTGATGGTGTCTCAAATATAATCCGTTTAAATCTTAACGTGTTTAAATCTTTTACCACAGATCAAACGACTAAAACTGCAAGTGGTACTATAGTCCTCGCCACCCTAAGTTGAGGCACGGCGTATATCTAGTGCGGCCTTGGGCTGCCTCAACTTAGGGTGGCGAGGACTATAGAGCTGGTGTGTGCTAAGGGGATAGTGTGACTGCAAATTTTCTAACTTTATAAGGTACTAGGCAAGGATTTTCTGCAAGTCCTTCAATGTTTACTTTATTTATTAATGATCTACCTGAGGCACTACGTGGCAGCTGTAATTTTGGAGGGAATAGAATAAGCATTCTTTTATATACCGACGACGATGTGTTGTAAGCGCCTGCCTACCTGCTTACATTTTATGATAAGAAATTTAGAAACTTACTATAAAACATGGAATTTGAGAGTAACCTGAAAAAACAAAATTATAGACGTTTAATAATACTTGTAATAATACAGGGTTATTCTAAATGATGGACCCATTTTTAATGCTTTATAATTTTTATACTATTAAACTTACCGCTATAAAATACACATCAACGAAAAAGCAACTCAAAGAGTTTATGCCTTCCAAAGACACATCATTTAACAATATCGATCCAACAGAACTGTAGATTTAATTGTACAAAGTTAAAAAGTAATCTCCAACTTTTTTTACCACTAGAAATTTGGAGGTTCCTTGACGTTTTTGCAAATAACTTTTCTTGACTACTTCCTTCACCACTTCCTACGTCGCGGACCTGTTTTCCTCCCTTCCCATAGCATTTTAGGATTGCAGATACCCTAATCTTATCGTCGTACGAGGTGTGGCTAGAAAAAAACGGGATTTTTTGTGTAACTAGTTTTATTTCATTTCCTTTACAACTTTTGCATTATTACCTTCAATATACTCCCCTCCACTATCCCTACACCTCTCCATTCGAATTTTCCATTGTTCAAAACAGTGTTTTAAGTCATTTTCTGAAAGCATGTTCAAAGTCTCCGTCGCTTTTTGTTTCACAGCTTCCACAGTCTCAAATCTGGTCCCCTTCAACACTTCCTTCACTTTTGGGAACATAAAAAAGTCACACGGAGCTAGGTCTGGTGAGTAGGGTGGATGTTCTAACACAGGGATCTCATGCTTGGCCAAAAATGTTTTAACAACAAGTGCATTGTGGGCTGGGGCGTTGTCCTGATGAAGAATCCACGACTTGTTCTTCCACAACTCTGGTCGCTTTCTTCGCACTCGCTCACGGAGGGTGGCCAAAACCCCTAGATAATATTCTTTATTCACGGTTTGACCTCCAGGAACCCAATTTACATACAGAATTCCATGGATGTCAAAAAAAAACAATCATCATGGCCTTGAATTTTGATTTTGACATTCGAGCTTTCGTCATTCGTGGTGAATTCGGACTCTTCCAGTGCATTGATTGTCGCTTAGTTTCTGGGTCATAGGTAAAAAACCATGATTCGTCACACGTAATAACTCTTTCCAACAGTTCAGGATCTTCCTTAATGTTTTTTAAGATGTCAGAACAGATTTCCATCCGTGACTTCTTTTGTTCCGGCGAGAGAATTTTTGGCACCATTTTTAAACACACTTTTCTCATATTAAAATTTTCATGTAATATTTGCCGAACCGATTCTTTGTCGATTCCCACAGTCTCGGCAACTGCACGGATACTCAATCTACGATCTTGATGGATTACTTTGCCTATTTTCTCAATGTTTTCATCAGTCTTCGAGGTTGAAGGACGTCCTGGGCGCGGATCATCTTCAACATCTTCTCTCCCTTCTTTGAAACGCTTATACCACTCAAAAACGCGTGTGCGTGACATACATTCTTCCCTAAACACTTCTTATAAGAGAGAATAAGTCTCTGTTGCGGATTTACCCAGCTTCACTAAAAATTTCACGTTAACACGTTGCTCAATCAAGACACCTACCATTTTTCCGACGAGCGGCATATACAAGGTCCAACCGGAAAGAAGGCTGAGGCCCGACTAAACAAGAGAAGCTCGTCCAACTTGCTGGAATGTGGAGAGGGGATGTCAGGCGACCCGGCTATATGGTATTTGACCTTGAGACTTGCACAAATTATCTCACAGAAAACCAGTCCTGTTATTTTCTAGCCACAGTTGTTTTCCTCCCTCGTAAAGTCCCCACACTCCGGACTGCTCGCCTTTACTACTTCCTTCATCACTTCCTACGTCACGGACCTGTTTCCCTCTATTCCCATAGCATTTTATGATTGCCTTTATTACTTCCTTTACCACTTCCTATGTCGCGGACCTGTTTCCTTCCCTTCCCATAGCATTTTAGGATTGCAAATACCTTAATCTAATCGTCATAAACAGTTCCCACACTCCGGATAGCTCACCTAGACTACTTCCTTCACCACTTCCTACGTCGCGGACCTGTTTTCCTCCCTTTCCATAGCATTTTAGGATTGCAAATACCTTAATCTAATTCCATAAACAGTTCCCTCACTCCGGACAGCTCGCTTTGACTACTTCCTTCACAACTTCCTACGTCGCGGACCTGTTTCCCTCCCTTCCCATAGCATTTTAGGATTACCCATACCCTTATCTAATCGTCATAAACAGTTTCCCACACTCCGGACAGCTCGCCTTGACTACTTCCTTCACCACTTCCTACGTCGCGGACCTGTTTTCTTTCCTTTCCATATCATTTTAAGATTGCAGACACCTTAATCTAATTGTCATAAACAGTTCCCACACTCCGGACTACTCGCCTTGACTACCGGTACTTCCTTCACCACTTCCTAGTACGTCGCGGACCTGTTTTCCTTCCTTCCCATAGCATTTTAGGATTGCAGATACCCTAATCTTATCGTCATAAACATTCCCCACACTCCGGCCTGCTTGCCTTCACTACTTCCTTCATCACTTCCTACGTCACGGACCTGTTTCCCTCTATTCCCATAGCATTTTATGATTGCCTTTATTACTTCCTTCACCACTTCCTATGTCGCGGACCTGTTTCCTTCCCTTCCCATAGCATTTTAGGATTGCAATCTAATCGTCATAAACAGATCCCAGACTTCGCACTGCTGCCCTTGACTACAATGTATCGAGTAATCTTCAGTATAATCTTTGCTAAATATTAACAAGTGATGTTTTTCCTTTTGTACTGTATTTGTAATTTGCTAGTATAGTATAGTATATTTACTCGTACTGTGGGTAGTTGGCTTATTATGAACACATGCTACAACTTCATGTCTTTTGTTTACTTTATCCTTGTTATTTAATTCATCCAACATGGTTACCTAGCAACCCATAAGACTAATGTTAAAAAAATGTGATTTTCAGTTTCATTTTTCTACGTAATTAGATTTTTGTTGGCAGTTCTAACTGCAGTAAACCCGTTTTTAGGCCAGAAATAAACTATTTACAACATTTGAAGAAAATCGTCGGAGCCGTTTTCGAGATCTTTTTTGCAAGCAAGCAAGCAAGCATACATACAAGCAATTATTGCTCGTATTAGAGTATAGGATATATAATTTTGTTTTTTTTTCAGGTAATTTAATAACACGTACGATGCTGATCAAGAAGTTATTTATTTGAGAGTAAATCCTAAAAAATCAAAAATAATAGTTTTCAGAAACGGGGGTATATTGGCCTCATCAGATAAATGGTGGTTCAATGGGAAACAAGTAGAAGTAGTAAACAGCTACAAATAGGCCTACCTCGGAGTGTAACTCACAACAACGTCATCTGGGCAACATTTTAAAGAAAAAGCGAGGCAAGCAAAGTTAGCATTTAACTCAGTGTGGAACAACTTATTCAAGAATAAATCTGTGCCTTTATCTCATCTAAAATTATATGTTTTAATTCTGTCATAAAATAAATTCTTAGTTACGGTGCTCGGGTATGGGGTTGTTTCGAATCTGAATAGGCTACTTAGAATCTGTCCAAAAATTGTTTTTAAAGAGACTCTTCCGGTTGCATTATGACACGCCAAATTATTTAATATAGGCCTTATTTAGAAAGCAGATTTAAAAAACTGTTTTTTTAATATTTGATTAGTTTTAAATTAGTTGTAGTTTCTTAAAAGTGTTACATTTCACCGACAATAGACTTCCTTTGATTTTAGCTAAACAACTTATAAATCAGAACTTTAGTGCAGACGGTGGAAGATGCTAAGTGAAAAGGTCTTTGGGGTCGATGTAGAATTTTAGCAGAGCTTGTTACGGTAAGATCGAGATGTCTGACGTTGGTGGAAAAGCGTTGGTTTCAATGGATAGGAGAGCGTGCACGCACGTCCATTCACCATTGCCAGCTAATCAGCCTCGACCTTGTCCTTGAACTTGGTGATAGAAGCTACCTTACTGATGACGCCGATGTCACCTTGATTTCCTGAATAATTAAGGATAGGGCAGGGTTGCTCTATATTTATATGGTAAACCTTGAAAAGGGAAATAAGTTGTGTTCTCTTTGTGATATAGGCAAAATTGAAACCAAATTTCATTTAATCGCTAAAAGTCCAATTTTAAGTAATCTTAGATTAACATTTTTACACAATAGTATACTCTCTGAATGTGACTATACCAGCCTTTTAAATGGCACGGATTGGTGAGCGTTAGTACATTTTCTAAAAAGCCCTTGGCAATACCTAAGTGGCTTAATGCACAAGAATTTAACAATGAAAAAAAAAATATTGAAAATTGATCATAAAAATTTAATTGCTCTTACCTCTTCAAACGGAATGTTTATATCTCAACACTATAAAAAATAACTGATATCTTATAACTAAAGAAATTTGGACAAACTGGTTAGGCCTGGGTTAGGTTTTATTTCTAGGCTATTTATTAACTTTATAATCGCGGTGGTTATATATTGTTTGTTTAAGGAAAGTTGTTAAATTTTATTTTAAAAGAATTAATTTATGATTGAAGAACTAAAAATGTTACCAGTAGATTTTTTATTTTAGACATGCCGACCCGGCAGACAACCGAGTCGAGGTTATTGCTGTAGCGCGTAGGCAAGTTCCCTGCGTGGGACAAACATGTAATTTGTAATCTGTTTTGAGAATTTTGAAAATAAAGCGCTTTTTCATTTCATTTCACCTTGTTCTCTGAGTCGGGAGACAAAATTAGGGGGTTGCATACAGAATTGTGAGAAAGATGAGATCTATTGAGATCATTATTTCTAGAGTAGGCCAGGCTAATAAATCGCCGGGTTAAGAATAAATGTATTCTTTTCTTAAATAAATAAAGTACCGGTAGTTTTGCCGTTTTGCAAGCTAAGTTAGTGGCCATAGATCATCTGGCAGGCCTAACATTTGCAATCTAGTCTCAGCTTAGTCTACCTACACGTATTTCAATTTATCGCCTATTAGGCCTAGTATGAACAATAAATTGGGTACCCTCAATTTATTATACAAAAATATCAAGGTGCTATTTATTATCTTGGAGAGAGACAGTTAAATCCCACACTGTTTTATAAATTAACTAAGGGTTAGAGTAGATTGCCTAAGGTACCATTGCAACATTTAGTGTTGTACCAACTACACCTCAATTTTCTGTTACCGGTATCCCAACTTAAAACTAATCTTAGAACTTGTTATTGTCAAAAAGGTGATTCTCCAGATTAAATATGTTGCTTTTTAAACTCAACTGTTTAAAATCAAGGTACCCAACTATTACCGTAACGTTCAAATCACCCTGACAGCACACCTGCGGACCAAGTTAAGCGAATTTCCTTAGTCCAAATATGAGGTTATTACTGTAAAGTAGCCTAGGCCTTCTTACTTAACTTAAAATTAAACAGGTTTTTTTTTAATAAAAAAAGGATATTATCAGTTAGGTTCATGACTACGTAACTTATAACAATAATTAAGTTATAAAGTAAGTTAAGTTAATTAGGCTACATTTATGATAAAAACTTAAGTGTTTTTCAGCGTCTGGGGTCCCTAAACACATAACTTAAATTATTAGCCTTCAGTAGTCTCGGCGGATTTAAGTTTTAACTATTTGGAATGTGAAACATTAAGGTCAGTTTATTTGGCTTATGGGCTTGTCCTGTGGGGAGGTTCTTTTCACACTACACCAAAAGAATCTTTCTATTGCAAAAAAGAGCTGTATGTTTGGTAGCAAAAGTTAGCCCAAGGACTCATAGCAAAGGCATTTTTGTGTCACACAAAATTATGACTTTGGGAACTATAGGCCTACAGTGTACGTATACCAGGTTATATGTTTGGTTAAATTTAGCTGCTGTTCTGGTAATTTAATTTCTAATGTAGGACAAATACATGACCATAACACTAGACAGTGTAATGATTTTTTCAGAGTGAGAAGACAGTTCAAAAGGACAGAGATTAGCCCCTTATGTCAAGGGAACAATCTTTTTTCAATAAATTACCAAACTACATAAAGAAACTCGAAGGTATAAACTTCAAAATGGAATTTAAAAAATGGCTTATTAATAAACTAGAGGACCCATGCTGCTCCGCAGCGTTAAACTAAAAATATAACATCCAAGAACTAAACAAATTTATGATTTTTGATGAGTAATACAGTACTTGATACAGATTCAAACCATCAATAACTCAATATAAAGCCTATAATTAATTACTGATTATTTTGAGTCTAAAACATACAGGAACAATACTGGAGCTATTGATTTTTAGTCATAGAAAAACCACATTAAAAATAATGTTTATGTTGTTTGTTCTCCTTGTGTTTGCTTGAAGCTCGTCCGATTTGAATAACTAATACAGTAGCTTTAACTTAGCTTAAATGAATGCAGGTATTACACTGAAGGTCCTTAGACAAAAAAAAAGGATTGTATAATTATAACTGGTGATATTCATCTTAAATTGAAGTAAGAATTTGAAAATGATGTTTTACGGTCAAATAATACAGTAGGTAAATATATGCCGATGCATTTACATCAATGGCCGAATCTTGATGTGAAATATTTGCGTGTAGGCCTTGAATTTAAGACCTCAATCATGAAAATCGGTCGGGTAGAAGAGCCAAACGCACTCGGAAAAGAGACACCAAATTTAACTCCCATAAGAAATGTATGGGGAGAAAATTTTGTAGACGTATGCCTATAAGCTGAGTGGGGTTAAATAGATAAATATAGCCTATACCCATGCTTGATGGCAAATCTGTGTGTGCATACCTTCAATTTGAGACCTCATTCATGAAAATCGGTCGGGTAGAAGAGCCAAACAAACTCGGAAAAGAAAAACCAAATTTTTTAAATATATAAGATGCCCAGACAGTCTTGAAAAGTTTAATTAAGTTGAAGGCATGCCTATTGTGTAAGTAGATTGGTTTGTTTGCCTCAACAGGATTCTTTCACTGTAGAGTAGAAAGCATGGTTTTGTTCTTTCTAACTTAAATCAGTGTTTTTGCATGGTTTGCACTGTAGGCCTATGATCATTGACTATTGGTAATAGTCAAAGGTATGATATAATATATATGCTAGGCCTACTTATTTTATATTTTGAGTTATTTTGACCATTGCAATGCATGTTATTTCCATGTTAAAAGCAATAAGTTAAAGACATTTTATTTCATTTCAGGTTAAATTTACTAAGATGTAGCCTATTCGGTAAAAGATACTTCCAACAAAAAAGGACGAGGAAAACTTCGAACACTTCGGCAAGTGCATGATGATGTATCAAGACACTTTCATGTAAATTAAACTTACCGGTAACATAATGTTTAATACGCTGAGTTAACTTAGGTTTTGGATATTAGGTATCTTTATGGTGCCTAGGCCTAAACAAAAATAACAAATAGGTGTAAGTGAAGCTCTGGACTTTTTAAAGGATTGAATAAGTATATTAACTTAATGGTATCTTTTGCTGGGCAAGCAAACACATAAGCAGGGCCACATGGTGTAAGTAAACTATGGATGGATAAATAGTCTACATCTACATTGAGGGAGCATGTAACTTAAAATCAATTCCTCCTACTCACATTCCTTTTCTAATAGCTTTAAGAGGGATAGGTATTGATAGCCTACAAATATCAGGTATACTTTCCTACTTACTAGCCTGATTCATGTAACTTATTGACAATTCAACTTTTCAATGATCGCTTCAGAATATAACAGTAATTCCCGATTAACTCAAATAAGACAAGGAATTTTAATTGACAACAAATTGACCCCTACTGAGAAGAGAATGTTCACTTATGTATGTTATGGCCCACTCAGGTTAGGTGTCAAAATCAGTAGCCTATTTCACTTGGAATTATCCAGATTTGTATAATAATATAACATACCTTATTAACATCATAACAGATTGAATTAATATTAAGAATTGTTTGCTTAAATTTAATTTCCAAAAATGATCAATTGCTATATAAATATTTATACTTCAGATAAATATAAATTAACAGAATCGTCTTGAATTTGACATATCTTTCTATTTCTCTTCTTCACTTCACTCTTCAGAATTCTTCTTCTTCGTCGAAACCCTAAACTTTAATTCCGTTTCAGTCAAAGGGGGACAGCTCACTTACTCTACAGATCATAGACTATACGAGCTTTTTAAATAATATTGAAGGTTCACTTGCACTACAGGCTCGTATACTATACGAGCCTATCGAAAATAAAAAATAAATGAAGAGGGTTCACTTACTCTACGAATCATTGTGCCTATGAGCCTCGTGTATTATATTTAAAAATACAGTAGGAAGGTTCGCTTACTCTACAGATCATAGTGACTATGAGCCAAGCTTACGAATTATTTGATAATTTAGGAATCGGCTCGTATAGTATACGAGCCAAAATAATGAATAATATAAATTATAGGAATAGGCTCGTATACTATACGAGCCTGCAGAAAAATATTAGATGGCTCACTTACTCTACAGTTCATTGGCACTATGATCCGTAGAGTAAGTGAACCCTCTTCAAAATATTAGATGGCTCACTTACTCTACGGCTCATTTAGCTACTCGTTGCGCGGTTTGCGTTCGTGAAACTTTAGGCGCTATGCCCGGATTCGACTGCTGCGACTGCCTACATAAGTGTATTGCATCACCTCAATTATTTATTAAAACGAAATAAATATGTATGCACAAGTAAATTTATTACATTTTTGGACTGAATACTTTAAAAATGGAGGGAGCATGACTTTTATGTTTAATTAAATTAAACGTTATAGAATAAAACATATTTTGACTAATATCAGGTTATATAATACACACTTGTATGATCCAGATACAGAGCTACAGACAAAACCTGTGGTCCGATTTAGATTAAATTTTGTATCTGGATTTATCCACGAGTCACTAATTTTTTAAGCACGGGTTGAGAAATAATGGCAAAAATTTATAAAAACAGTTCACCAGTTTAGAATATTTCTCAGTTACTGTGAGTTGCAAAAAAAGTGTATACAGAAGCATTTGTGTACACAGAAAATATAGAGGACTAGATGTATACAGAAGATATATTAAAATACAATACGCACACAACTATCAACGTTTACATATGTAAAATTAATGAATTTGTTGTATTGAGTATTTTTAACATTATGACGAAGCCTTAACAAAACATATTTTTTTTAAGGAGTTCTAGGGTGTTGAACTATATTGTATTTATCTTTTGTGGAGGATTCTGTCCACGATTTATGATTGCTAACAATTTAATACAAAGATTTAAGTCTCTGTACGTGAAGACTAAAAACACGAAACAAACTTTAAAGTGATAGAAAAGATTTGATCAGGAGCTGGCGTTTGATACCTTTTGGGAATAAATATAGCCTCTACTTCAAAGGTATACATGGTGAGGTAGCCTCTGGAAGTCCAATTTGGTTAGATGACCTATTGACGTTTTCTGAAGATGGACTTATTTTCAAGTCCGAAACTATAGTAGTGTAATACTGAAGAAGGATCACTTGACGAAGCCAGGTAACTTAAACCATTTAGCTTAAAGTTATACAAGTTGGTTTCACACCAACATTTCATGCACATATGAAATCTATATAATTAATACGCGAACACTAAGTTTGTCGGTTGAATCCTCCACCATTTCTTAACCGATTTTATCCACTGACGTCTCATTGGAAAGAGCGTGTTGCGTAGATTTGCAAACTGGCCTAATTTTTTTGAAAAAGTCCCTTGGCCTCTGCCACAGTGGCTTTTTAAGTTCCCATGTTATCCTTTCGAAGAACATAATATTGTTTACATCAGCTGTTTAATTTAATTGTGTTCTTTGTTTTTCAATTCAACGAAACGCATTGGTTACATTAACTGATTTTGTGGAAATTAAATATCTATCTATATATTAATTACGAAAGCCGATTCTTTGCGTCAAAATTGTGGGCGACTGGGTAGTCGTAGAACGACGGGAGAGGGTTCAAATTAAAGGTCTCGATCCCGGAAAAATAGTGAAATTCCCCAAATTTTAACACAAAATTTGATAAAACCTTTGACTTAGTCAATAATATAACGTAAAATGTTCTCCATAAGAATAGCATTAGAAGCCATTTGTCTGTTGATTTTTGTTTACCTCAATACAGCTTATCGTGATTCATCTAAGCCAGTAAGCAATATTACATTTGGATTTAACTCATTTGCCAGTAAATTCTGCAATGTACTGTATACTATATAAAACCAGGGATGACGTTACCTACAATTGAGACTTTTGTCGTTATGTCTTAGAATGTTGAAATTAATTTTACTGTGCAATTTGCAAATTTGTGTATTTGTATGTAAATTAGCCAAGCGCATGAAATTTAGTAGAATCGTGGGAGATGGTTAAAATCAAAGTAAATGGAAGTAGAATGGCTGAAACATTTAAGATTTGGTTTCTTTAAACATATATTCACGAAGTTTACAAAATTATTTTACTTTGATTACATTTCTTCACATTAGTAGGTTATTGTTGTGCTGAAGGAATGTTTAACATGAAATAGCCCCATTGACTAAATAATCAACGATGCAAGATTAGTTAGAAAACTTCTGTTTTGTTTTTATTTCAAAACATATGTTGAAAATTTATTCAAAACTTTTGTTTTAAATTTCATAACATTTAATTTGACACGTAATTGTAGTGTTTAATCTATGATTTTATCGAGTGGAATAACCTTAACAGTTACTCTAGAGAATAACCTGGGAATAAAATTTGAAAAAGGTTTGTACAGGCAATACATATATTCCTTTCATTAATTACTATAACAAATTCCAATGGGCGGAAAAATAAAATTGTTTGGAGTAGATTTTAACCAGGTATCTACTGTCTGTTGCTCCAAGGAAAAAAGGTTAAAATAATATAGCCCAACATGCATTGTATATATATACAATCTATATAGATAGTAAAGATAGAATCTATAACAGTAAACCCTGGAGGTAGTTTCCGATTCTTTATGTTTCACTAACCAAAAATATGTACCTATATTAATGCTGATGAATTTGTTTTCTTGATTGGTTTCATTAACATGATAATGGAACCCTAACCAATGGCAAGTAATCAGTCGATGATTCGCTTTTTTAACTGTAGGCTAAATAAATAATATAAACGGTAAAATGTTTTCAAACAAAATTTACATCCATTGAATGAAAAATAATATACTATTAACATGACTATAGCTGATATGGCTTAGCTGTCGGCTATCTGTACATTGCATCATAACATCAGACAGCGCTGTGTTATTAACTTAAAAATTATAACGGATTAGCAAATAAATACTTTACTATGGTCTTAACAAACTATGAACCCATTGAACGTTTAAATTGGCCTATTTTAAAGAGTGTATAAAATCAACCACAGCTTTAGGAGGAATACCACCACATAAGCTGACACAGAGAGAAGTTTATATTTTATGTTGATCAGAAACGAAACTATAATCAACTATAACTATCAACTATAACTTATAGGGCAGCCTTTACACTAATTCAGTTGTGCCTTTACAAAAGGAGTAGAGCTATAATATTAGAAATAATAACTGGGCCAGGGTACTAATATGAGTACATGTAGTATTGTAGCACTGTATCGATTCTGACACATAGATAATTTTATTCTGAGTTTGTTTAAATATTACAATAGTTTGTTTTACATTTGAGCTTTTTAGGGACTTATGTCCCTACAAGCCACTAGTTTATCAATATAAAGCCCAAAGTACACATGAACTTTTGTGAAAACTACAAGTCATACCCCCATAAACCATATACTTAAAATGTTCGTCATGACGAGAAAACTAGCGCAAAACTATCCATTATTTCATAAACTGCCCTTAAAGGTCGTAATTGCTTTCCAAGGAAACATAGGAAAGTCATAGAACGCCACCAAGTAGCAGAAATCGAGATTTTTTAAAAATATTATCGGTCTCATCCTATATAAAAGAAGAACACCTACAATATGAAGATTATCCCACAAACAATGAACAAGGATGTTATCGGAAGTGCTACTATTTTGTTGGAAACACGGACTTATTAAATAACTTTATGATGATTTGCAAAGGAAATCCCTCTAAGGCTGAATTAAACTGGTACGGCAAGGACATTATATATGTTTTCATAAAAGTCAAGTGATTTTAAAATAATATGACTACATCCAAGAAACCTTATTAAAACTTGCATTGAAGGATTCGCATTATTCACATTCAAGGGAAACAAAAACCCATCTGAACAACAGTAGGCCTTACAATTCTGCATATTTTCAGGTAAATATAACTTACGTTGTAACAGTAACTAGCCAAATTAATGCCAATTGAGGCAAATAAAATTGTGACAGAGAGGTTATGCAGAAAATCAGGCAGTTCTTAAGTACCTATTGTAAACAAAATTGTATCTCTATAAAAAAAATACTGAAATTTGTACTGGTGACAATGGGTAGTACCATGCTGACTACGTTATCATTGACGAAGATCAACATGGACTACCTAATGTGGCTATAAGTGGGAAATATTTGTAGAATACACTAAAAACCAGATCAGCTTTTGAAAAATGGTAAAATATTTACAAGAAATGTTTAGGCTATTATATGGAAATGTTAGGTACGTTCCATCTATGAGTTTAGTCTTTTAAACTCATCGGAAATTATTACTTTTATTCGTTTTTAAATAAGTTAATAATTGTTTTTAAATAACTACTTTACTTCTTTGCAATTGCTTGATTTAGAGCAACATGTACACTAGTCGTTAATTATACTAGCACATTTTTGACGTGAGATAATAGCACGTTTGAAAAACAATGCTAATGACATCAATACACACAGTAGGAATTTATTCGATAAGAAAACTCCTTAAACGATCTATTTTTAGCCTTTAAATACTACCCTGTGTACGCCACTATCTGCCCTGTATTTTGCTCATTTTCTTTACGCTGCCTCTACCCTAATCACTAATTCAACTGAACAAAGGAAAAATATGTGTGTTATAACATTTTGGATCT